AAGATAATAATCTGAATCAGTGCACAAACCAACATTACCTTCCAAAAACGACTTCACATTCTGCTGTATCAGTTGGTACAAATGTGTTTTATTGTGTCCGTATTGATACATTTTTATAGTGTTTTATACATATATTTAAACTAAATAAACCAATTTAATTAAAATATAGTTTTTTTACATATTGAAAAAACACTATAGGCTATGTTGTATAATGGTTAGAATATTTGCTTTTATTCTGAGCTATTTTTGACAGCAGCACTGTTATCTTACTTTTACACTAACATGTCAATCATCTCTACTTATGTCAGAGGCCTTTGTGTAAACAGGTGCATATTCTCCCACAAATGTATAGAAACAGCCTCACATATTATCGTAAAGGAGGGGCTGATGCAACATATCTATAAAACTCCACCAAAACGCAGATCTTCACTTCTACCAGTTATACAGGTAAGCAGGAGGCAGTTCTCCTTTTCTACACCGGTGTCTCTTTTTAAATGAATTTATTATAATTATTCCAAATCTGTATAACTTTTTGTTTTATTCAGGTTGTGGAGAAAACATGAACGCCATCCAGGTAATTTCCCTCACTCTGCTGTCCGTTCTGGCGGCCAGCGCTCAGGTCATCATGCCAGGAAGATGCCCCCAGACGGGCGTCCAGGAGGACTTTGATACTGCCAGGGTGAATACAAACTTTATTAAACTCTTTTGGGAAACAAGGCAGCATTTAATTCATATTTCATTAAGTTCCAGGAGTTAGCAAATGAGGCCTTCTGGGACCTGCTGTAATAAACAAAAATGGCAAATGAATGCCTCAAGACTCTGCAGCTCTTCATCAACAGTAAATTGATGTTGTGTTGTTGTGTGTTTCCTCTGCAGTATCTTGGTAAGTGGTTTGATATCCAGAGACTGCCAAACACCTTCCAGAAGGGCGAGTGCTGCACTGCCACCTACAGCCTGCAGAGCCCCGGAGTCGTTGGTGTCCTCAACAGCGAGCTGCTGTGAGTACTCCACATGCATACATTCACTTTTTCATGAAGAGTTTGACCACTAGAATGTACTTTCTGGAGCTATCACTTATCAAAAAGGGGGTTTCACTTTACTGTGAAGGCTAAACTAAGTTTTGTGAAGCCTGTGACTGTAAGTCTGTAATTTACATGTACTCAAGTACTTCTTACAATACATACAACTTTGATGTATTGTTACCATACTTGACTTTTTCAATTGTAAGCTAAAGGCTTGTACTACACTACATTATGGATGGGACTACTGTGCTCTTACTTTACTACTATATATTGAATATATATTACATTTAGATGTGGTTACTTTACAGATTAAGAGAGCACAAAAATAAACACATGATCAGGTTATAAAAACATGATGCTGTGGTTTAGATTAAACTATCCAACAGTTTATAATGTAGGTAACAGAGGATGCTACTGTTAAAGTTCTCTGTAGCAGGAGTAGTGATATTCTTAAAATATGTTACTCTCTGAAAGGTAGCATCAGATGTCGCGTTAACCGAATATGACGGATTTTTTGTAACAATGACGGAAAAATCTGAAAGCCGTCCGTCATTTTGATGGATTAGAACAAACTCAGAACAGCGCCACAGTTTCCTTGCAGCGAGGCTCCGGTGTTATGCCGTGTTATGCATGCCCGCCCAAAAGGAAATTATACAGTTTCCAAACCTAACTTTGCCGAACAGAACTGAGTATTTGCTTTACGCGATCCTGCGAGGTGCAATGGGAATGCATAACACGGCGCTAACAGTCCCCCGTTGACAGTTCACGAGCGTGCTCTCCCCCCGCCCGGCAGAGTTGCGTACAGGCCGACGGGTAATAATGGATTTTGACGGAAATGTTACGATCCTGCCCGTCAAAATGACGGGCAGCGAAAAAGTCTAGCGCAACCTCTGGGTAGCATAGCATACACCAAAAACTATGACTTTTACTACATTTTTCTGTTCATACTTATTTAGGACATTCATTTTCAGACTTATATTATAACAAAAAAAAATTCCATCACTTTGTGTAAATGTTTCTAAATGTATGTTTTGTTTCTTTTAGTTCTGATGGTACCATTAGCAGCATCAATGGTTCTGCCACCGCCAAAGACCCCTCTGAGCCCGCCAAGCTGCAGGTCTCCTTCTTCGAGTGTAAGGACATCTTAGTTATTACGAACCTGGAAATATAACTGTTCCAACACTCAGAGTTACAGTTGAAGTGTCCTCTCTATCAATACTGTAGAACAGGGATGTCCAAACTACGGCCCGGGGGCCAAATGCGGCCCGCGAGTCATTTTTAATCGGCCCTCAGCAAATTAAAAAAGTATAATGGAATATGGCCCACAAATTAAACTTGTGCTTGTCTTATATCGTACTTTTCAAATATATATACGTACAAATATATTACACAGTATTCATGTGTTAGTAATCACATTTTTTAAAGTTGAAAACATTTTCTAACAAATGTAAGTTGATAAGACAAATGCCCAATAACTTATTTACAAGCTTGAAATATACCCTTCATATTTCTGCTTATTATAAGCAATCTGAGGCTTCTGTTTTCAGGAATGAGCTGCTAACAAAATAAAGCAAACCCTATGCTGGGATGTAGGTAGTTTGTTTCCTAAATCCTTTTCAAGTATCAAGAATAATTTACCCACATTTGATTGATTTTGCTAACTTATATGAGGTCATATATCAGTGACATTACTGTCTCTTTTCACCTGCAGACGCCCCCCCTGCTCCTTACTGGGTGCTGTCCACCGACTACGAGAACTACTCTCTGGTGTACAGCTGCACCGACCTCGGGATGCTGCACTTTGACTTCGCCTGGATTATGAGCAGAGAGCCCACCCTGTCCGAGGAGACCCTGGGGGAGCTGCAAGGCATCCTGTCCTCCATGGGAGTGAGCGTGCACAAGCTACTCACCACCGACCAGTCCGAGGCCACCTGCAGCTCCATGAGCCTGTAACTGAGTCAGAGGAGGAGGCCTGCAGGCGGACATGTGGTTAACTTCTCACTGTTTGTCTCATGCAAAGTCAATGCAATAAACTTATTTAAACAGCAGAGTGTTGGTGTCTTTTCTATGTTACTGGGAGGTCTGATGTATACACTGTTGATAATGTGTATTGTTGGGAGGTTATAGGTTACAGCTTACTAGTTATCCTTTAAAAAATGAATTAAGAAATCAATATACATTTGATTACCCTTTGTTAGAAAAATATCACTCGTCACCGGCTTGAGCTTCAATAATCAGGATACATGTATTTATTATCCTTGAAGTAGTCATCACATACAGAGCACTCGTTCCCAGAACAGTGTCCCTCAGATGCTTATAAACAAGAGAGGGTGTTACACACACAGTCACAAGATGGAGAAATACCGGTTCAAAGCAGTATACAATGTTTAGTTTAGATCAGCTAAGGCCCACATCAGAAATGATCATGCTTGTCCATAGAGGCTGAATCATCATGTTAATCACATAGCTATCATATGCCTGAAACAGTCCTGCTGCTCTTCTGGGTAATCATACATCCTGTTACGTACACATACAGTTGGGCCTTTGTTATCATGTGCTACTCTGATATTGGAAGAGTACGTTCAGTATTTTCCCAACACCTTCGGTGACATTTACAACTTAAAAAAAAAACAGGGCAAAAAGCTGAGAATTCATTTAAACAAACCTTTATTGCTTTCTGGTTTTTATTTTGAAGCATTAAACACATTTATCAAATGGTTTCTAACACAGTATAGTGTCGTACTAAGCAGGTATGAATGCATTTATGAATGAATTTATCCCAAACATTAACACTTAACTGAAGTCATTTTAATAACCAGTAAACAATAAATGACAATATGGTGAACTTCATTTGTAAATTGTACAATATGAAGTTATAATTGCTGACAAATACTACATAAAGACACATTCAAATATCTACATTATAATTAGGTATTAACCATGTCTTAAATATTTGTTTACTGCTTGGAAATTCTAATTCATCTGAAATCAGTAACACACTTATAGTTGTGGTGGCGTTTTAATCGCCTTTTTATCACATTTAATAGCCACCTCTATCGGGGTTGTAGGGTTTGACGCGCCTCTCTTTGTTTCCAAACAATTCAGCGGAGATCGTTGTTGAATTAGATGAGTTTTATTTCAATGGTCCAGGCGACATACAAACAGGAGGACACATTTCTTCACTTCATAGTCAAATAAAATTATCAGTCTCAAAAAGAACATAAAGAACACGGTCAAAAGACTTTTCCGCTTCCCCGTCTCATCACCATCAGCAACCTACCATATATAGGCATATAGCCATGCACGTGATACTGACGCACATATCATAACAAATAAGTGAGCCTTAAATGAATACATTTTAAACCATAGTGTGACTCACAAAAATACCTGATAATCAAGAGTTTAATCTAATTTATATTATTATTAAGCCTAACATTCAGACAATAATAACAAAAGGAAAATGGCTCTAACATACCAGCCCCTAATTGCTTATTACATAGCAATTACCAATAATAATATATCAACAGTCATTTTGACAAAACATATAACATCCATCCGTAGCATATTTAGCATAACTAAAGACAAATATCGGTACAATGTTTTCCTGTGAAATGAAGTGGAGTAGAATTAAAAAGCACAACATGGAAACACTCAAGTGAAGCACTAAAAGGTAAAAAGTGTACTTAAGTACACCACTGGGAGGTAGAAGTGAGTTTCAGTATGTAGCACACACACATTTTAGATATTAAATGTTAAAGTTCTTATATTTGTGTATGTGGTTAAGAATGAAGCTCAAAAATATTTGTCGCGATGAGCCGCCATCATTGGAGTATGTTTAATATTTACTGCCATAACACTTATTATGTGCAGAATGCTACACCAACCGCACAGGTCAATAAACACACATCGTCTGTTTAACTGGACCTTTACTGGTCTTTTGCTGCTGCTTGCACACAAAGATTTGTTATACTTCTTTTATAATTTGCATTTGTTTGTCAGCTCTTATTTTATTGGTGCCATATTTATTCTCTGTAAATGTGTGCAATTTCAAATACAATGCTCCATTTGAGACATAACTGGTATATCATTGGGCTTGCATAATGAACATTTTACAAGTTTTTGAACAAGCCTAGTTCAGCACAACACTGATTTCTTTCCACATGTTTATTGCATTGACTTTGCAGAATGTATACAGAACGAGGCACAGCACACACTGCATACAGAGGTGTGTCATGAATCTATGTCCACATTCCTGTAGAGGCTGAAACAGAAGCTTTTTACTGGCTCATGGCGCTGCAGAAAGCCTCGTCCTGGTTGGTCGGGACCATCTTGCTAACGTCGACTCCGATGGAGGACAGGATGCCGTGCAGCTCCTCCACGGTCTCCTCAGGGATGGTGGGCTCTCGGCTCAGGATCCAGGAAAACTCCATGCGGAAGATGCCGTAGTCTCTGCAGCCGTAGACCAGAGAGTGACCCTCGTAGTCTGTGGAGAGCACCCAGTAGGGACCAGGGGGAGAAGCTGCAGGAGAGACGAGAATCAGAGTCAGAGCTGCTTAAATATTCAGTACACAAGTATGTATATGTAGCACTAAAAAGATAATGCAATTTCAGGATTCTTGCCTTTTTCAGATTGTATATTCATGGTTCAATGCAAGTTGGATAAAGTTAGCTAAATTATATGTTATGCAACTGAATAACCCGGGAAATGTTAGTTATTAATTCTTTACCATTGAAGGAGACCTCCAGCTTGGCGGGCTCCGCGGGGTCCTTCACCTTAGCAGATCCGAGGATAGAGTTAGTAGATCCATCAGCACTGAAAAAAATAAGACGAGGTAAAACATTAAATAATTACTTTCACTCATAGGTCTATTATTTTGAAGTTCTATTGTATCTTATATCCTCCCTTTACCAAATGCTTTTATTTCATACATTTGAAACAAGTATAAAGCTCCATTTGTGAACCTGTGTGTTCAAGGGGTAAGGATTTTGAAACGAAGCTTCATTTATAAAAAGCAAAAAAGCAATATAGTATAATGTGTGGCTTTAAAAAAAAGGAAACATATATACAGCCTTCCATCAAAGGGTTGTGAATTTAGAAAACTAAATACATAGTCATCTTAATGTAGGTGCAGTTCCAACAATATCATGATGTTAAGCAGTTCCTTTAGGAAAAAAGGATCATATTCAAACCCTTGCATTAGAAAGCGTAGGCCCTAAAGCAGCGTGTACTCACAGCAGCTCACTGTTGAGGACCCCGATGACCCCGGGGCTCTTGGCGCTGTAGGTGGCGGTGCCGCACTCGCCTTTCTGGAAGAATGTTGGCAGCTTCATGATCTCATACCACTTGCCAATGTACTGCGGAGGAAACACAGGATTTCAAATTAAGACAAATTACTTCTAGACATGTAGTTGTTGCAAAATAGACCCGATAACCACACTGTACATAACATTTATTGTTAGCAAAGAGAAGATGAGTTTAGTATTCACCATGGAGGGGTTAAAGTCGGCCTGAACTGCAGGTTTGGGACATCTGCCAAACCTCAGCACCTCAGCGCTCACTGCCAGCACAGACAGCAGAGTCAGGGAAATCACCTGCATGGCCTTCATCTTATCAACGACCTGCAGAAAACACAGCAGCACTGTTAAAACATTTAGCTTCTCTGAGGGTTAACTACAGAGGGAAATAGCTGAAGACATACAGAGGTAGAGTGGTGGCTGCAGGCTGCTCACCTGTGAGTATTCAGGGTTATTGTGTGCAGGTGTTGAGTTTTGAGGGTCTTTTAAAGATGTCAAGCTTCAATAGAGATCACGTTCTTCAGCCCCCTCCTGTGTTTCCAGCTAGAAGAGGTGGAGTGAGAAAGTTGGCACCTGTTTAAATAAAGAGACTGTTCAAACAGGCCTCCCAGCCTGTGATGTTTCCAGAAGTAAATCTATGTTATTCTTCTTTATCTGCCCATTCATTTAAAAATACCAACTTTTTTTCTATACAATGTTTTTTAAAGGAAGAAAATTAGACACGATCCAAACAACTAAATGTATCCCAGTGGTCCTGTTCACAATATCTTGACTTAAAGTTACATTTTTCATCAAGCAGATTTTAAATGTTTTAATAGAATTTGAATATCTTAAATACATATTCTCCGTATCCTAGAGATGATTTAATGTTATTAATAATAATAACTTGAATGTATATAGCGCCTTTCATAACCTCAAGGTCGCTTTACAAAGAAACATACAAGGACAAGACATAAAACATAAAAAAAACTTAAACATAAAACAGGGGGCAGAAATGGAAGTGTAAGTGGGGGGGTGAGTTATTGTTGGAAGGCGATGTTTAACAGATGAGTTTTAAGGGTTGATTTGAAGATGTTGAGAGAAGGGGCGTTGCGGAGAGGGAGTTCCAGAGGATGGGGGCAGCGACACTGAAGGCACAGTCCCCGAAGGTGCGGAGGCGTGAATGGAGAGCAGGCCAGAGTCTGAGGATCGAAGGGTGCGGGACGGGATGTATGGATGGAGGAGATCTGTGAGGTAAAAGCATTAGCTGCTGTTCTCCAAAAACCAAGGTTAATATCTGTTAGCGATGGACTAAAAAACATTCAAAGAAGCGCCCTCTGGTTCTTTTTAAGAAACAGAAAACACTTTTCGCTGCACTCTTACCAGTCTTTCAATTTCCAACCAAAAGTACTGTCTCAGGTGATCATTTATTGCATCTTCCCGCTTTCACAGACAGAGTGTTCACTAAAGCAAGCACGGTGTAGAGGGAGATGAATTGGGCACAACTGCATCTGCTTTTCTTGATGCTCCCACATCAGCTCTCTCCCCCTCCGATTCATTTTTAATCCCTGCCCTGCTTTTAAAGAAAGAGCTGCAAGGGCCTTGGAAACCACTTTGCACTGGAAATGGGTTTAGGGAAGCTGAGGCAGTCTGGGTTGGTTTATCAACAGAAGAGATGGAGAAAACAAAATCAGACAAAGAGCTGCAGGACAGAAATGCTCATTAAAAACATTCAAAAACAACGGCTTCAGTTGAATTGTAATCAGTTATATATTCATGTCAATGCAAAATCTAGATTTGTAATGTTTTGCCTTGAAATGCTTCAGAGAATACATCTGTTGTCTCTTGATGATGTACGTCTGTTATTTTCAGAGATGATGTTTAAAGTGTTTGTAAAGCTCAGTCCAAAACAGTCTGATATGTCCCTTGATTCGAGGCACTGTTTTAGTTTTTCACAGAAGGAAAGATTAACTGCTGATTTTCTTTGTTTATTTTCTTGCATTTTCATTTGTAACATAACACCGATCAACAACCGAAACCAAATCTATACTACATACTATACTACTCATGTTGTATGGAGAACAAAATGAGTATGTATCAGAGCATCGAAAAAGTTATGATTCATCGTGAGAGAGGGCAATGTCTGATCCAAATGTAATTGCAAAATGTATGTGATATTTCTGTCTAAACACAAATGCAAACCTTATTTTGGTGCAACAAGAACACCATCATTTGGCCAAGATGCTAAAAATACAAATAAAAGCATTTTTAGTTCACATGCTAGTTTGATATTAAAGAAAACCAATATACTCTTTTAAATACCGATACTGAAGATAAATCACACATATAAAAAGTCAAACAAGGTAATTTAAGGGATCTTGTTGCAGCCTCCTTTCAATTTCAAGTCAAAACAAAGGGGATTTTTGGCCCGCAGGATAATTCTTAATTACTATTAGATCTGGCTCGCCGGTATATTGCACGCACACCTTCACTCCATCCTGAGGGTTTCCTCAGCTCAGAGCCTGACCCCAAACATTGATGAACTTGCACCCAAGATGAGATGCTGTTATGAACTTGGTTACACAAGGATAAGGACTCAAATGCACGACCCGGGAGCCAAAGGTAAAGTACAATTAAGATACTTTATTTGCACAAAAAAGGTAACAAAAGAAGATCACTCTTAAGAGATGACAAAAAAGGTTTGAGCAAGGCAAAACAGAAAATCACTCACAACGTGAGGAACTAAACTTATAAGTTTCAGGAGCCAACATAGGCTTTGAATCAAAACGAGCTGAAGAGCATAGCTCTGTCATGAGGACAGGACAAGCCTAACTGACACTGAACGCTGGGAGACTGGGGAATTTAAACACTCAACAACAAGACACAGGTGAACACAATCAGGGGCGGGGCTGATACTGATGAGGGCGGGAGAACACATGAGGAAAGGGAGTCAAGGGACCTGAAATGAGACGTGACAAAAACAAAACAGGAAGTGAAAAACAATACAAAATAAACATGAAACATGATTGACTAGCACTTTTGACGGTGCACAACAGATGCCAAGTATCTGGCTTGAACTAGCATCACAGAGCAGCAAACTGAGTTTAATGGATGTTTCCTTCTGCACTTTGTTTCTTGCGACAACAGGGCATGTTTTTTTCTTTGAGGGAAAATCCTCTTTGTTAGTTCCAGGTTTAATATGTGCAATACGTTCATTTCAATAAGTTTTGCAACAAACATTGAACCCATTGACAAGTACCCATTTTTTTATTTTGGCCCACTGTGTATTTGAGTTTGACACCCCTGCCTTAAAGGAAGTCTTCTTTACATTATTGCAGCCTTATAGGCAGAGAGTAAACACCTTTGTTTTTTTCTATGGATTTGTATCAAAATGTCTGCAGTGGGGCAAAAAAGTATTTAGTCAGCCACCAATTGTGCAAGTTCTCCCACTTAAAAAGATGAGGCCTGTAATTTTCATCCTAGATATACCTCAACTATGAGAGACAGAATGAGAAAGAAAAAAAAGAAAAAAAAAAATCCTGAAAATCACATTGTCTGATTTTTAAAGAACTTATTTGCAAATTATGGTGGAAAATAAGTATTTGGTCAATAACAAAAGTTCATCTCAATACTTTGTTATATACCCTTTGTTGGCAATGACAGAGGTCAAACGTTTTCTGTAAGTCTTCACGAGGTTTTCACACACTGTTGCTGGTATTGTGGCCCATTCCTCCATGCAGATCTCCTCTAGAGCAGTGATGTTTTGGGGCTGTCGCTGGGCAACACGGACTTTCAACTCCCTCCAAAGATTTTCTATGGGGTTGAGATCTGGAGACTGGCTAGGCCACTCCAGGACCTTGAAATGCTTCTTACGAAGCCACTCCTTCGTTGCCCGGGCGGTGTGTTTGGGATCATTGTCATGCTTAAAGACCCAGCCACGTTTCATCTTCAATGCCCTTGCTGATGGAAGGAGGTTGTCACTCAAAATCTCACGATGCATGGCCCCATTCATTCTTTCCTTTCCACGGATCAGTCGTCCTGGTCCCTTTGCAGAAAAACAGCCCCAAAGCATGATGTTTCCACCCCCATGTTTCACAGTAGGTATGGTGTTCTTTGGATGCAACTCAGCATTCTTTCTCCTCCAAACACGTCTAGTTGAGTTTTTACCAAAAAGTTCTATTTTGGTTTCATCTGACCATATGACATTCTCCCAATCCTCTTCTGGATCATCTAAATGCTCTCTAGCAAACTTCAGACGGGCCTGGACATGTACTGGCTTAAGCAGGGGGACACGTCTGGCACTGCAGGATTTGAGTCCCTGGCGGCGTAGTGTGTTACTGATGGTAGCCTTTGTTACTTTGGTCCCAGCTCTCTGCAGGTCATTGACGGTCCCCCCGTGTGGTTCTGGGATTTTTGCTCACCGTTCTTGTGATAATTTGGACCCCACGGGGTGAGATCTTGCGTGGAGCCCCAGATCGAGGGAGATTATCAGTGGTCTTGTATGTCTTCCATTTTCTAATAATTGCTCCCACAGTTGATTTCTTCACACCAAGCTGCTTACCTATTGCAGATTCAGTCTTCCCAGCCTGGTGCAGGTCTACAATTTTGTTTCTGGTGTCCTTTGACAGCTCTTTGGTCTTGGCCATAGTGGAGTTTGGAGTGTGACTGTTTGAGGTTGTGGACAGGTGTCTTTTATACTGATAACGAGTTCAAACAGGTGCCATTAATACAGTTAACAAGTGGAGGACAGAGTAGGCTCTTAAAGAAGAAGTTACAGGTCTGTGAGAGCCAGAAATCTTGTTTGTTTGTAGGTGACCAAATACTTATTTTACCGAGGAATTTACCAATTAATTCATTAAAAATCCTACAATGTGATTTCCTGGATTCTTTCCCCCCATTCTGTCTCTCATAGTTGAAGTGTACCTAGGATGAAAATTACAGGTCTCTCTCGTCTTTTTAAGTGGGAGAACTTGCACAATTGGTGGCTGACTAAATACTTTTTTGCCCCACTGTATGTGAAAAGTGGTCGATTACATAAGCAACAGTAACATTCCTGGTGACCTGTTTTGGATGTTGTGATGTCTGTTTAATAAACTGGTATACTTCTAAACAAGTTTCTCTAAAGTGGACAGATATTCATAAGCTGTTTTATTGTATATGCATGGGTTTTGATGTCTGAACACGCTAGTGCATCTTTGTGGGAAAAAATACAGTAATGTTAATCAAATTCTGTCAGAAGCTGTCAAATAAGCGTAGGTTAAAGGTCACAGATGGTGCAGCGACCTCAGAAGCAGCAGGAAATATTCTCAAGCTGTGTGTGTCTCACTTTCATATCTTTAACCTTTAACCGTGTGTGTTCACAGGTGCCAGGAGTCCCAACGTGACCCCATGTGTCCCGACAGGTGACGTTTACTGTAGCTGTGACCCTGTCAGTCATGTATGTTTATGTAGCAATTTGTTTTAATAATTCTTCACTGTGTTTTGGATATGACAAACGTTTGAGATAATTGATTGATGTAAGTCACGTATAAGACGTTAGATTGTCAAAGTTGTCATATTCCATCGTAGATTGATCTTTTATAATTCCCCATGGTAAATCAAATCAAATCAAATCAAGTTTTATTTATATAGCACATTTATAAACGATTTTTGGTCGAGCCAAAGTGCTGTACATATAATAAAAATAGCCTACAATCGAGACACTTTACAGCAAATACAACAGCACAGATTGTGCAGAATAACAGTATGAGAAAACGACACCCTCTGTCCTTATATGTTTCTGTTTTGGTGGTCGTGCCACAACCGTGCATGTATGCACAAGTCATAGGTGCGCTATACAATAGCACTACACCCCTGCAATGTGTGTGAAAGACAATACACTTTACAGCATGTTTTTTGAAATTGAAGTTGCGTTGGTGTTTGTGTGTTGGTTGTTGACGGCAGTGTGTGCCCCCGCTTGGTAAATGATTGCCCCCCCCATTCGATTTGTTCTAGAGCCGACCCTGAGCACTCAATTGGCTCTACATGTGATAGAATATGGAAACAAAAACTATGAATTGAAAGCATGTGATTTTGCTGGGATTCTCCAGTGTCTTCAGCTTCCTTAATATTCCTCAGCCTTTTGATATTTCTGTTTCCCTCTGTGATCCAGCTGTTCAGCAGTGTGGTAGTTGACTTCCTTGATCATCTTCTGACCAAAAACAGTATTTGCTTCCATTCACAGAAAGACTTCAACGGGGCTTTGATGTATCCGGCTGCAGCTATAACAAGTATTTCCTCTCTGAAGCGTGCTAGCTGAAAAATGAGTCTTTTGATATTTTCTCATCTTTAATTTAACCTTGTTTGTAGCCGCTGGGCTTTGTCTCTGAGCAGAACGCATTTAATAACAATTGCATTTAACTGACAGAGTTTGGTTTAATCTGTTTTGGATGTTAAACAGCTGCCGTTTACTGCACCAGGACATTTCTGATGTTTTATTGAAGTTGAATTCACTGAGATAAAATTGAATACTGTTCTGCTTACATATATATTGTGTGTATTTTGCTGCATTTGGACCATGACAACATTTCTTCAAATTTTCATTGCCAAATGTTTAATTGATGGATGAATGACTACAGCTTTTTGAATAAATTGATTAGGTTGGCAGACGTTCAAAATATGCTGATCATGTGCCAACTTTCTTACTTTAACCACATGATCATGGAAGCCATTATTTTAAGAAAATCTGGAGAACAAATGGGCCAACCACTGTAACAATAAAAGTCCCCTGTAGCCCTTTGTGAGTATGAATACGTGTAACAATGTAAAATCAATACCACATAAAAGACACCTTGCCAGAATAAAAAATTACTTGGTAATGGTTGAAATGACCACTGTTAGTTTCACAATGATACAATGCCAAAACTGATTTATTTGACAAGTTATAAATGATTGTTTTTGCTTCACACATAGCCGCTTATAATATGCCACCCACCAGAGCTAAGAGCATCAAAACTGTGACACAGTTCAGCTCAATGAGTAAAAAAAAAGACAAATCCTACAGAAACATGCCGCCAACAAAACAACACATGCTAACGGTGTGAAAATTAAACTCCTGAACTTTTAGCTCATGCACTAAGTGGACTTGGCCTGACTCCTAATGACTGACAGGGTGCGAGTCATCAGTCAGTCTGACTGATCAATCAATCAATTAATGTTTATTTATATAGCCCAATATCACAAATGTTACATTTGTCTCAGTGGACTTTACAGTTTGTACAAAATATCAGTATGACAATACGACACCCTCTGTCCTTAGACCCTCACATCGTACAAGGAAAAACTTCCGAAGAAAACCCACAGTTTAAAGGGAAAAATGGGAGAAACCTCAGGGAGAGCAACAGAGGAGGGATCCCTCTCCCAGGACGGACAGACGTGCAATAGATGCCGTGTGTAAATTGAAAAGATAATACATTTGCAACATAGGTAGTCCAAATGTTTGGAAATGCATGTGTGTATAATAGGAAGATGAATCCACGAGGATATCCATCCAGGACCTATGATCCAGGACCACAGCCACGACTCAAGATCCAGGGCTCGCGATCCAGGACAGAGGAGCGCAGGATCATCCATGACTCCGGATCCCGGCGTATATAGACACCAAAAAGAAAGACATTTGGGGAAGCTGGGTTAATCGGAACATGAGAGTACACAAGTATAGACAGAGAGAAGGAAGAAGTAAGATGTCCCCCGACAAACTAAGCCTATATCAGCAACAACAAAAAAACTGACTGATGACTCACACCCTGTCAGTCACCGCCGACACAGAGCAACAGCACAGAGAAACGTGTGGGCGTAGGAATCATGAGGGTCTGTGTCAGACATATACACTTACAGGGGCCGATGCCATATAACATGTGTTTTTATGAAACAAGAAGTTTACATCTGTCTGAGGCTGTGAGGCTCATCAAAATAAATGCAGATAGCTAAATTAGATTTGATCTTATTTTAGTAATTGTGTTCTTCAGAAACGGCCTCATCGCACTCACACACATGTTGTACAACCCTTGTTATCTGCTGACCAATGAACAGCTCTTCTTTGTTTTGTGGTGGTAAAATGTTCCCCATCCAGTTGAATCCTCTGCTCACAAGCCCACTACTCTAACCTTTAGGTCACTACTGCTATAGATCATTGTGTTTATTAGTTTAAAAAAAAGTAATGCCTGCACCACACTGCATGGTTTCGAGTTACCCACTAAATAGTTGTCAAGACATGCCACACTGACACATAGATATCAATGGATGCACTAGATACAAAATTAGAAGATCACCAAAGCTTTTACAGTTTTTCCTGTGGGAAACATGAAGATTTAAACCAAAATGAAATGGGAATACATCAAATAGTCATTGAAGCTTTTCACTTCGAAATACAAATGTGCCCCTCGTGGTGGCACCATACTGTAGACGTAAAGTCAGGGGAGTCATTGTGAAACAGTAAATAACTGTAACCCAACCTTAAGTGGTAGAAAGAGTACGGATACCTAAACTACTTTCTCAAGAGCTATGCAAGTTGCTAAAATACTCCTGCCATCTAATCAGTAAGCTACTGTGAAGTGAACATGACAAAAATAAATCAATTTTAAATCAACATTTAAAAAATGGCGTCTATTTGCAGCTTGAGTCACTGGAATGCTCAGATATTTTATTGAAAATAAATCCACATTCCTGCCGTAGGGGACATCCAGATTGTTTTATAACATTTTCACTGGTGTGTCCCCCATGACTCCACTTTGCTAATAGTTTACTTCATGTCTGAAATAAAGCTCTAAACAAAGACAGTCATTGATGACAGAGTGCAAAACCTCGCAGAGAGCAACATCTCTCATTCAAATACCAGGACTTGTCCAACAGAGAACATATATCTGACCCACCAGGCCACAGAGGTAAGACATATATATTGTGAAGTATATAACATTTAAAAAAACTCAGCTGCTCATCAGTTTTCTAACTTTTTGTGAGGTTAAACGTTCTATATTAGCCCAAATTGATATTGTTGTGTTTGAAGGAACTGCGCAAAACATTTTCTCATCTAACATTTCATGATATTTTTTTATATAGTTTAAAGTGTAAAACCCTGTCACAAATGTTTGCATTCAGTTTAATCATTTGCAATAGCGTCTACCAAAAGTTTATATACATTTATTTAAGATTTGTGTTTATATTTCCCCCCGATATATTTAACTTGCACAATGAGGTAGATTCTCTTGCATTTACTTACTTTAAAGAAAACGTTTCAACTTTCAATACAGATTTACATTTCTAAAAACACAAAAAGTTAAATCTATTTATTGGTTTTTTGAAATGTTGGATTTCTGATATGTTTTGCCTTATCACAGTATGCTGGAGGTTTCATTTTGATCTGTGTGATTTGGATAAACTCTCACAGGTAACAAAGCTCCACCATGAAGTTTTCTCTCGCTCTGGGTTTTGCCTTCATCCTCCCACTCATCAGGGCTCAGGTGCCCCATTGGGGACCTTGTCTAGATCCGGCTGTTCAGACGGCCTTCAACCTCAAACAGGTAAAAAATGCTTTGTACAAAACATTTAAAATTATTTGGAAGTTCGATGCCCCGTGGTCCATGGTGAAGTGGGAGTGACATGAACAGCTGTGCTTTTTCTCTGCTTTTTCAAAAGGAGAAAAACTATTTTTCAACATTAAACCAATGCTATGTGATTTTCTAAATGAAATGTATCGTGTTACATCTTATTTAACTAGCTTTCTTTTTGGAAAGTAGCCATTATAATTTATACTTTAGCATGGATGGCTAGGTACTTATTATCATCATCTTAACATAATTGTAATGATTATCGAAGTATTTGGTAAAGCATGTAGTTATTCTAAGCAGCACATTAACATATATTGTTTCTGTGATGCAGTGGAGGAGAAGTGAGAAGTGTAGCTTAAAAAGAAAATACAAAGTCAAAAGTACATTCCACCAGTGGATATTTTTTTACATTTGACTCAATCCACTAAAGCATGCAGATTTATTCATACTCTCCAGTCACAGCGCTCTGATTGTCTTTGAACTGGTGTGTGTCTTTGCCCTCACAGTTCATGGGGAGATGGTTTGAAATTGCCAAACTGCCGGCCCAGTTTGAGAAGGGTCGGTGCATCGAAACCAATTTCACTTTGAAAACAGACAACTCCATTCGAGTGGTCAGCTCTGAAATACTGTGAGTCCTATCTACAATTTTCTTTGTGCAAATGTGGAGAGTCAAGAGGTAATATTTGCACGGTGTGTGTATTTCCATAATCTAACTTGAAACTTGAATGTGGAATAATACAGAAAAGCAGAGCTGAGGAAAATTGAAGGGACTGGAGTCGTAGAGGATATCAAGAATCCGGCTAAACTGGGAATAAGTTATTCCTACGGTGAGAGAGACATTCTTGAGGATAAATTGTACTTTATTGCAATTTAGGGGCAAACCTACTGAATTTTGTGCAATAACTACATTAACCTTAAAGAGGAGCAAAAATATATCGGATTTATTTTAATTACTGTTAATGAAACTGTGTTTGCTTAAGACGTTTGTAGTGTGTTTCCAGTTTTAACTGAACTGATAGTGAAAAGCACTACTAATAATAATGTATTTTGTGAAGTGATAATAAAGTATTTCTATTGTATTCCTATCCAATTCTATATGGTGTGTTTTTAGGGAGTTTTTAGAGTCTAACATGTAAATGCATCCCACTTTTTACTTTTGTTTCAGATCAGAGACATTGAAAGTGATCTGATTTTGTTTTGTGCTCCTTCCCACCACAGTCCTGCCCTACTCCCCTTACTGGATCCTGTCCACTGACTATGTGAACGTCGCCCTGGTGTACTCCTGCACCGACATCCTGAGGCTCTTCCACGTCGACTTCGCCTGGATCCTGGGCCGAACACGAAGCATGCCAGAGGCCACCGTCCAGAAAGCCATGGACACCTTCGCCAAGAACAACATCGACGTGAGCAGGATGATTCCCAGCAAGCAGCAGGGATGTGACAAAACCCTCTGAGCAGCGATGGAAATGAAGCACAAGATGGCGCTGTGGTTGACAAGAAAGAAGCAAAATTATCATCTCTTCCAGAAAAATACTTGACTCATATTTGGATAATTATGGTGAGGGATGTAGTATAGGGTAGAATAAACTCAGTGACGATAATAAAACCATTTACTGCATGCTTATAGTAAGTATTTTTGTTATGAGGGGTTTGTAAGTACAAAAGCATTGTGTTTTGCAACACCTTTTTTTTTAAACTCAAGATCCCTGGTTGTAGTATTTCAACCAGGGAGAGTCACATTTAAGCTTTTCCTAATGAATAATGTCTGCTGTTTATTTTCATGAAAATAGAAAAATCATATTTAAATGAAATGAGTAAATCTGATGTTTATGCCACAAACTCGGAGCATGAAGTATCCAATTAAAGTCAATAAAACTCAGTGAAATGGATTCCATGTGATCTTTCTTGATTCTTTGCATCATGCTTTTCATGAAAACATACTGCATACATCAGAGTGAGTATTTCTGAAGACCCTGGGACATCATCATTATAAATGGAACATAGGAACACTAACTTTTAAACTTATATCATGGGAAGAATAATTTTATAAAAGCTTGTTTTAAGGTTATTCCTCTCTTATTCCTTTCTGTGCCTCAAGCTAATGTTAAAAGCATGAGACCCACCCACAGCTACAAATAAATAAATCGTGTTTTACTTCTCTAAAAAGTTTAAACTCCAGTCTACTATTTAATGTATTATATTTCAACCTTAATATCACAGTAATTCTTAATAATATTTGAGTTGATCTTATATTGAATCTCTCAATGTTTTCCCTTTCAGATTTGTAATTAATGGTCATGTTTGGTATGTCACAAATAAGATAAGTGGAAAGTTGTATGTGGTACTGACCTGCTTGATACATTGTTGTAATGCAACGAATAAAACCCAATTTGTTAAATAAAATAAACAAATCGACAACACTGTTTCATCCATTAAAAGCTTACCTAAAAATGTGCTAAGGAACCTTTGTGTATTCACTCGATTTTCACGTCGGACTTATTTTCATCCTGCACTGCACTAGCTTGGCTGTGAACCTTTTTAGCTGATCATTTGATCCATATTACCTTGTGGTTTTCTTCATCGATGCCACTGAAGGATCAATCTAACTCGACCGTCGTCATGAAGCCAGCAGTGGATGAGATGTTTCCTGAGGGCGCGGGGCCGTACGTTGATCTGGACGAGGTTTGTTAGCTTACTAGCTAGCTAACTCATTAGCTTAGTTAAACTGTATAATACACATTTAGCGTTAGTTGGCTATAACAAATGATTTATTCCTCTGCTATTTCCGCTTTTAATGCCTATTGTCACCATAGTTAAGCGGTCATGTAACATTAAGTGCTAAAAAGGAATGAATATTAACAAAAATCAATAGAGTAATTTCACTCAGGCTATTGTCAATAACAACGCTAGTTTGTTGCCTTGGTAACGTTGACCTCGACGTGTGTACTGCCTGTATCGCGTTAGCAAACACAGAGCGGGAAGAAGTACTCGTATCTTTAATAAGTAAGAACTACTACAGTATATGAATACTCTGTTATAAGCCAAAGTCCTGCATCCTGCAATAAGACCACTATTCAGTTAACTAATTCGTATGAGTAATTTAGTATTTTCAAGTATTTTGATTATCTATAAATGTTAATCGTTCTTCATGCACACAAATTGATTTTCTTTGTTTTGTATCATTTTAAACTGAATGTCTTTGGGTAGAAAGAAACAAGGATTGACATTATTTTTGACACATTATACTTAAGTATTGTTAGTTTTATGTATGTTCTATATCTTAAGCTTACACACTGTATACTGTAGCAGCCATTATAAATATGTGTACTCAAGGCTTGTATCTACAGATAGCTGTGTTGGTAAATATTCATAGGGCTGCAACCATAGGCTGCAACTAACATGTTATTCATCGATTCATCTGCTGATAATTTCCTAGATTAATCCATTAAACCTTTTTACAATATACCATATTCTGATTCAGATCTATTTTCTGCTTTGTTGTTCTGTTTTTGTCTGTATTTTTATTTCGGTCTTAGTGTACATTTATTTTGTCTATAACTACATTGAGAGTGACTTTGAACTGGAGTTACATTCCTTGCTCAATCATGCATTTTATAGCAATAGGATGTATTTCTAGATGTCTTTCTCGGGTTGAATGTGTGTCTGACTGCATGTTTGTTCTCTTGCAGGCTGGGGGAAGCACAGGACTGCTGATGGACTTGGCTGCCAATGAAAAGGCAGTTCACCCAGACTTCTTCAATGGTGAACAATCTCTTTATAGCATTCTTTACAAACCCAAAACACTTTCAAATTGTTAAGGAAATACTGATTAATTGTTGCTGCTCACTGAGCTAATATACGATACGTGCATGTATTGTATCTACCACACTATCTGCTCTTTTACAGTTATCTTTTAAAAATATTATATAATCCTTTTAGTATGAGTAGGTCTTGACAATTAAAATCTCATGGTTGATTTTAATTGCAGAAAATACAGACAAATGTGGACAAATCTGAAACATAGCTTATTAGTCAACATCCATCAAGATGAATATATGACATGTTTTTATTATAAATAAAATAAAAATAATTCTGCCACATCACTATTGCTAAATAATGGTGGTACAGAGGGCAACATTTGTGGAAGTCCTCCCAGATACATTCTCCACTGAAATACTGCAGACTGGACGCGTGTCCAGTGTTTCAACAACGCTTCATGTGCCTGGAGGTGAGGAAGTTTATACCTCCAGTTATTGCCTTCATCTGGGAGGAGTTAGGGACATGTAGTGCGGTTGGTGGTACCACTGGTTATTTTAGTTTTTTATTGTTCTGAATACTGGAACTACTCTGTTGAGTCGTCCTTTTTCCGCAACTTTAGTACTTCCATACTTTGGACTTCACACTGCTCTGCAGATTGTGTACCAAAGAGACATTTCTGTTTGGGTCGTAAAGGAGATTTACGTCTTGAGAAGGTGTGTGTTTGGAGGGACTAAACAGGAGAGGGGTGTGGTGCAAATACGGAAAACCAATATTAAAAAATTATTCATAATATTAATAAATTCTGTTGGATTTCAAAAGGCTTTGTAGATTTTTGATGACATTTTACAGAATTTGAATCTTGTTTGGATTTTAATCAAAAATACAATTGCTGTATCTCTGACTTTGTGCTGGTTTTCTGAACAGTTTCTTTAATAACAGACAAGGTACGTTTCCAGCAACATTTTTAATGAACACTTTCAGTTTGTGCAACCAAAACCTGAGTGGTCACCTTGAGATATTTCACAAAGTGGAAATGGTATAATGGGACACAACTGTAGAATCTACCCTGCCTACTCTCAAAGCCCTGCTTGTTGATGGAAACCTAGCTAGAGCCTAATAACCTTTTGTCTGTAATGAACCTCTCACAGAGTTTTACAAATCGATGTATCAACTCAAATACATTCTGCTCAGGTTATCTGAAGTAAACTGAGGAGGAGTCAGTCATATACAGATAGGAAGTAGTCAGTCAAGGCAGATTGAATCTATTAGCACATGATGTTATTTCATCTCTGGGCGTCAGTGAGCTGCTGGTTCCACAGCAGGACGTCTCTTTACTGGCCCCAAAACATTCCTTGTAGCCCCCGCCCCCCTTTTACAAACTGTGTTTTATAATGTAGTGTGATCTGGTGTCCCGAGGCGCAGCTACATCAAACGGCCACGAATTTTCGCCATATGCACGACACAGATTCCACGCAGGCTTCTCAGCAGGAGCTCTGTGGATGTGCTTTGTATGAGGCTCATTTAGGGTGGCAGGCTTTATTCCCTGGTGATAGAGATATGTACCACTTAACGTCTGCATGCGCATTGAGGCAGCTCACAATCCCCTGGCCTTCATTTATACAGAGATTATACAATTCTCCACGTTAATTCATTTAAACAATGAGTGACAAAAGCGACAGTTTGAGGTAATTTGTGTTATTTCAGGAGGAAATATTCAGGCTGCAGCAGTTCTATAGAAAAAACACGCTGTAGTGTGTAGTCCTCTTGTTTCTAAAGGTTTTTTTTAAATACATATTTTACTTCCTAGGCTAACAGGACACTGCAGTTTGATCAAAAACTTAAATTCATCATTTTCAAAATGTGTATGTAGTACCGGCTGTTAGGCATGTTTAGAACACAGCATACTTGCAAATTCATTTATACTTAAACGAACTACCAATTTCATGGCTTATAGTATAGTTTATTATGATGTATTACTTCAACGGTGCTTCTTTTCATTAGACCTATTTATTTAATCAGTAAATAAGGGTTGACATTGTACCGAAAAATGCTACAATGCACACTTTGATATTTTACACAACAAGGTGCTTCCAACTTTGTTGCAACGGTTTGGCAAAGGCTTCTTCCTGTTTCAACTCGACAGTGAACTGGTGCACATTTGGGCATCCACATATTCTCTGACATAAAGCGTACATGACGTCGAGAAGAAAACTATTGTCCCAGGAGTGACAACATGACAGAAGTATTTTCTCACCTGTCACTTCAGTGTAGGTAATGTGTTTTTCTTTTTTTGTGAAGTCTTTCATTTGAGCTAAAATGTGTTTCTGTCTGATTTCTATGTTCTGAGTGTTTGATGACCCCTTTGAAAACAGCAGTCTGTGCACGAGGAGGACCTGTGGAAAACAAAGTCAGCGTCTTGTGTGTTGTCTGCACAAAATGTTCTGTATGCAGGCTGACTGTGGACTGTACTTATACACAACAATACAACACTATTTAGAGTTTTCATAAAAGCACCGGCCGATCATTAAACATTTCATGAGACCTTATTTACAGCCAATTCCTTTCTTTCCCACATCTGTTTTTCCATTCTGAAGAGATCAGTTGATCAATCTATTCGTATGTTGGCAGTAACAATTCATCAGCATTCGTCCTGATAATCATATTTGTGTTTTTCAAGAAGAAAGACTAATTTAGAATGAAATAATTATCAGGTGGAGTTTTAGCATTTAACAAAACCCCCATGACTGTATTTTAAAACTTATTTCATGTTGAGGAAAATCATAACATCCTCACGTTTGTGAACCTGTAACCAGCTGCCAATGTTTGGCCCTTTTACTCGAATATGGAGAAAATGGAATATCAGAATATTTGCTGATACATTTTCTGTTGATCTATGATTCATTGCACGTCTAGAAGAGAATGTGATGATTGCCATATCTAAAAATGTGATTCAAACAACGACAGTAATGGTTGAAGTAGTAGTGAACTTCACTAAGCTGGATCGTGGTGAGTGTTACCTGCAGGAACAAAGGATGTGGCACATATTCCCATGCATGTTCATACACTTCTGCTGCTGACCTCTGACCTCACAAACAGTCAGACCCGCAGGAAGGATGCTCAGCAAGAGCATTCCCAGATCCTTTTACTTTTATCACCCTGCAACCCTTCAACCCTCTCTACCTACAACGCTGCTTTATGAGAAAATGGCTGGCTTGCAGAAACGTTTGAAATACAGTGTCATGTCACTTTAGTTTAATGATTGTGTTTCTTTTCTCCACAGATTTTGAGGATCTGTTTGATGATGATGACATCCAGTGAGAGAGAGAAGCACGTCTTTGGAGTAATGATGGATTATATTCACATCGCTCCACACCTTTTCTTCTGGTGGAAAGCAAACCAACCATTTACTGTCTAATGGCATACAATTTCCTTTCATAGTTCTCCTAGTTTTAGGCTTTAAAAAAAAACATCCTTAAAAAGTCGTCCCTGGCTCCAGATGTTGTGACATTCTTAAGATCCCAAGGATTCCTTCAGATATGGTATGTTTAAAATTATGAGCTTGTCTCATGCTCATGTCTTCCACTGCTTCTTAACTGGATTGCAGGTTTCAGTGTGCTGGAGAACACCTGTTAGGAGCGTAATTACACATGTGATGGGCAGCGGCTCCGTGTGCTGTCACCTGTAAGCATGCTGCAGATGGCATACGATGAAGACGGTCTGCTAAAAATAGCTTAAATTATTTGTATGAGAGTGTGTGTGATAGTCGGATGTGTGCTGTGTGTTTTGATTTCATATCTGCAGTGTGTCCTGTTACATTAATAGTTTGCACGTATGTGTACTCAGGGACGTGCACAGACATTTGGAGGGGCTATTGCTCTGAACTGGAAAAAGGGCCCCCCCCCCCCCCGATAAAAAACACAAGACCTTTTGAAAATTGTAACTTGTTTTTAATGTAAAAGAAACCAAACGATTATTACATCAACTAAATTGAACAGTAATTCATATCTCATAACAAAATAAGCTAAGGCGACTACTTGCATTCGGTGACTTGATTTTAAAAATGAAAACCAGGGACATTTTTTGTTTTGCGGTCCATATCTCATGAAAATATCTAATGTTAGTAACTATTAAAGACAAAATGGGGACAATTCTGTTTTAATGTAGTTTGACCATTGTAACTGCTGTGCAGACATACTGATAAAATAGGGCCTCTAGCTAATTAGCTTAAATAAACTCACTAATTAATTAAACCAGTTCAATACGCATTATTCTTATTCTTATCATTCTTTATGAGCGCAGTAACGGCAAGATATCTAATTACTTATTTATTTAGTATTCCATAACTTAATAACAGAGATGGTCAAACTAAAGTGATAGAGACATGGCAGAAATCCTACAATGAAGCGGGACAGTGAACTGTTCACCCGTGAGAGGGCGATGAAGAAAAGAGAGCGAGCGGCGCGTTGAGGGAGTTTACAGCTGAAAAGACAAGCTCAATAACAAGTAGGCTATATTTAGGTGTTTTTTTGTAAATAACCGACGGTATCAAGAGGAAGTAAAGTCCCCTGGTTTGTCCCTTATAGCCTAACTGCCATGATGTGACAACTCAAAATCAAGTTTCCAAAATCCGACACTGAGGTGGTCTTTAACGCACCGGCAGATAACAGCGATGACAAAGTGTGTTTCCCGCAGCGAGACGCTACAATACTAATTGTGGGTTTATCATGTTGATTCGGCCACAACAGAAAACAGAAAAACAAACTCTCGGGCCGTTTCTCAATCTCGAGGATACTGGCTTCCAAGCCAATATTTCAAGGATGCTACGTCATCGAGTGCCGCCGAAGGACTGTTCCAATCTCCAGCATACTTGGAATTCACCGAGGCCGCGTCCTTGGTTTGGGGGAAATTTCGAGGCTGCACATGGGTAGACTTCGCATCCTTAAAATCCCCACAATGCTTTGCGCACGGACCAATTTCAAAAACCCTTGCGGAGAATGGCTGAACCGACGCAGCACACATTTAAATGTAGACCTAAGTATGTAGTGGCGTAGAACATGTAAATATGTTACTTTGTTACATTTGTTATCACCAAAAATGTGTTCCGTGAAAGTAAAGCAAGTTCATAATTAGATAGACATCGTGAGGTATTTATTTTCGGTGCAGTTTATGTTGAAACCGTTAGAGAGAGTGGCACACTTGTTAGCCTGTTCCATTCTTCTTCATTTTCCGAAACCGTGGCTTGGAAGAATACTTGCTTCGTTTCTGAAGGAAGTGACTTGGAAGTACGCGACTATCAAGCCAGCATCCTCGCGATTGAGAAACACCCTCGCTCTCTCCAGAGGGGCAGCCAAAAAGGCCAAACGGGCCGTTACCCGGTCAACATTACCCGTGCACGTCCCTGTGTGTACTGTAGTTATAATTCCACACTTGTATTTTTGTGTTTAAAAGTCAATAAATAGCATTTTGTTTAAAGGAAGCTGAAAGTGTGTCTTTTTTTACAGAGCGCTTTTCCCAATTATTACGTAAACGAGATTCGATTTACCAACACGTTATGACTTTATAACTAGTTGCATGTGGACACTACCCAAGGACCCCTTTGCGTCACTTTTAAACTCACTGGGTAACCCTTTAGCTTCATTTTTCAATGTGAAGGGTAGTTCATTCAAAAACGTAATGTGGTTAATGTCACGTAGCTGACTTAAATTTAGTACATTGCATTTCAAATTGGTTAAATCTCAGCAACAAAATGTTTTGGTTTGGTTCAAGGAAGGTCTTGGTTTGTGTTTAAAAAAGTTGTAACTTAAGTGATGCAGTTAACGTAACATACAAATTAATTATGTTGCTTTTGTGTCAATTCAACAAACAAGCTGGTTTCACCCAGAGTGAACGTTAGACTCCTGGATGAAAGTCCAGCGTTTCCATCCGTACACCCCAATATCCGCAAAACTCAGACTTTGTCGATCTTTATACGTCACGTGTTCACCTCCTTTACTCTCATCATTACTACGACCACCGAAAGAAACCCTTCATGTCAAAAACTGAAGCAAGAGGGAGTCAGTTATAGGAATTGTAAAATGTCCCATTATCTTAGATCCTTACATTTTTAGATCGCATTGCAGTTCATCCCAAGAGTATGAAGTGCAGATAAGTAAATCCAAGGAACTTCAAGGATAAACCACGTCTCTGAGCGAGTGTGAACTCCAATACTGAAGACAACAAGCTGAATAAAATAATCTAACTTTTGGAGAAGAGCTTTATAAACAAAAAAACCCAATTCTCTCCTTTAATATGCAGCAGCTTCCTGCCTATAACCACATTCAAAAGAAGACTGCTTAAAAGGAAATATAAATGGCCAGCCTAGTTTTCGCATGAAGCAAAAAGTATGATATAATGTTTTATCATTTCTGAAACCTAAGTATAGACTCTAACAACATACGCCCTCAATATGAGCACCAATAGGAAGAAAGGTCATTTATGTTTATATTTTTTGGGAACAGCATTTTGGGGTTTTATTATTATTCAGCGCATTTCTGGGACTGACAAGAGGCTTTTGAAGAGCACAACATGCAAACTACAGGTTTTTAAAAACTTACCATACAGAATCAGCCAAACAGTGAACTGTGCTGTCAGACATTTTACTGATTTACAAAACAATGGTATTAATTTAGCTGAAACACTTGATTGTGTATTTAGCAGCACACACCAAGTGCTATTTGAATGAGGATTTGTGAAAATGAAACAGGAACATGCTCAAGGATAAGAGCCAATTAACAAAAGTGTCTGTAATGGAAAGAAATAATCAACGTTTCTTCAATCAATCTTGATTAGCCTGTCCAGTCATGAACTGATATCATTTTCACTCTGTAAAGGAACATACATAATATTCCCTGCAGAATTAAATGCCAATTGTTGAGCTTCAAGCAGTTTATCAAGAATCCCTGGGTTTCTTGACAATGTGGATCTCGTGCCCTCATTGGTCATGTGCGCGTTCGTGTGTGTTGGAGGAGGGGCTCTGTGAGGAAGTCTGAAGGAAGAGGCAGATTTTTTCCGGTTGTGTATTTTCAAATTCTAGCGCACTCGAGCTGGTTTCTCCAAAATTACATACCCCACCTTTAACACCTTTAAAACAAGGTCATGGCTATGTTAATGTACTGTCATGAAAATGTATTCAGTCTTCAATCTTTATCTACCCTGCATTTTTTTATCTTTTAAATAAAACATCTTTTTTTATCTTTTATACTCTAGATTGGATTAGATTTAGATTTATAAAATGAACATTATGCTGTATTGAACATTATTACAAACAACCACGTTTTTTTTGTGCGATACTAAATGATAAATGTGTTAATTTTTTCATAGACTTCTTTACAATCTGACTTATTTTGCAACCAGTAGAGTTTCCCCACTGCTGGCCATTAGAACGAATGCACTTCTGCTTTGGCTTCACTTTTCAGACCAGGAGGTTGAAAAAACAGCTTTTCATTATTAACAATCTCTTGCTGGTTTATTCGTAATTTGAACCACAATTTAATTGCTAACATTAAAGCATTCAACAGGCATCATAATCTTTACAAGGGTCTGTGCTTTAATGGGCTTTTCTTTCACAAGATAAAGTAGGCTTTATAGGTTTTAGCCCAAATGTTTAGTTAAGTTATACATTATCAATGCACATAAGAGACAGACATCTATCCTCCAATGATGGCTGTTCTGCTTTAAGCTGAAGAAGACAACCATTTGTCTTTTTCTCTGACAACCCCACTTATTTTGAAATGTGTAAATTGCAGGGATCATAACCAAAGCTGAGGCATCATCACTCATGCAAGAGAGACACGGTCCTGTGGGACAAACTGTACGACAGTGGAAAACAATGAATACAAAATAGATGGAAAGTAATGACTCAAGTGGAATCATTTATTTTTGTTTGTTTTCCAATTCAATGAAAAACTTAAATCAAAACATGTTGACATCTAAATTGAGCTGATAGCTATTAATAAATAAACAGTATACTGTAAAAAACAACCTCAAGTGAATCCAAACCATGGTACTTACTGTATAGCTCAGGGGGTTATTATCAGGAGGAATGGTCAAAAACACATGACTACATATTGAGTGGAGGAGGGAGGCCTGAAGGCAGGGGCTGAGATCTTCTGTTTTTTTTGTTTAATGCTTTCAAAATCCAACTTACTCTTGCTCTTGGTTCTCCAAAGTTGCCTACCCCAGCTTTAAAGTCTGTTAAGAGTTATGGCTCATAGGAAATATTTGCTAAAGAAATGCATGAATGCTGGAAGCTATGTGTTACCTTCTTCTTGTCCAATTGAATACATTAAATGCATCTCATTTTCCCTAAGGTGCAAGGGGACAAGCCATACCAATTTAAAAAAACATTACGCCTATTTTTCTGACAATGTTTTCCAACTCTGGATACATGGTTGAAACATTACTTCTGCCTGGGGTAGATTAATTAATGCAATGTGTAACTAGCCAACCCACTGAAAGGTAATAATGTTGAAAAACATCCAGTTTAAGATTAACTAAAAAAACACACTGTGAATATGACTGGTGGCGGTGAATTCAGGGGTACTTGAGTTATCTCACGGCTGTACGTCTGGAAAATGTAAGTATGCGGTATTTTCTTTAAGTAGCCTTTCAAATAGCCTTTGGGGTTGTTTTACTGTTTTCCAGCTAATGTTCTGGTTTCCATAGCTCCTGTACGGTATATACATTTATATATTCCACTGGCATTGGCTGGAGGCTGTACAGGCTACGTGGCAGAGAGCGAGCAGCAGGAGCCTGTAGCAAACAAACAGGATGGTGTTGGCATGCTGGTCCTGATGTCTCTGCAGCTCCACAGCAGCAGCTGCATTAGTTTCCTCTCCTAATGACTCCAGATTCCTTCATGTTGTTAAATAAAAACATGCATGGGCAAAAAAATTGTGAGGGAGGTAACAAATTGAAATAATTCACATTAAGGTCTCATACTATTGCCAATAAACAAATATAAAGAAACAACACTTAGTAATAGTGCAGTTTGTACCCTCTCCAACAGATGCTTACTCCTCTGACTGTAGTTCCAACATGGAACAGCTGAGTAACTTGATTAAAAAATGGAGGATAAATGGCTGCACTTTTCTAAGCCCGCATTAAGTTTGGAAACATAATCAAAAAGGCTGGTGCAACGTCTGTTCCACTGAAAATAAAAAAGTCACGTACCTGTCATCCTGGACAATATTACTCAAACATTTATCACTGTACTGATGCAACACTGGAGTTATTTCAGAAATATTTATTTTTGTTCTTTGAAGTCAATTTCTTCACAGGGACTATTCTAACAGAGATAAAGCCTATTTTTATTTACTGCTAGTTATTTACCGCTAGATTCTTTTTATGAATCCTTTTCTTCCTGAGTACCTTCAGCGCTACCTCTTGGGCTACTGCTTCCACTGCAAGTTTTATGAGCACCACCTCAGCGATAGCCTGCAGCACTCCTTTATAAATCTGCTCTCCTGTAACAGAGGCCTCAAGCTGTGTGGATTCAGCATCTTACAGTTTTTTGAGTTTGCGCACACAATATTATGTAGACTTAAACATCTCTAAATCAACTGGTGGCTTGGATACAATGTCACCTTGCATGTTGACTCCAAATTCCAAAGCTGTGAGGAGAGAAAAATGTACGCTAAATGGCACCTTGTTAATGTTTCTCCACTGAGAGTAGTCGTGCCGCTCACCTCTCCTAATTACAGGACCCCTATTGGTCGGACGGATGGCACGCTAGAGCCAATCCCAGAGCGCCTACCAGCATGCAGGGGCAGTTTGACATGCCTTTTTGTTTTTAATGATCAAGGGGGTTCCTTTAAAATGTTTGCCTTTCCGCCTGTCCCTTAGGTTAGAGAGCTCAGACAACCAGCAAGCCCCCCCTCAAGAAGCTCGATCCAGAGAGCCGCTGGATCCCGAGGTGATCACAGAAGGCCTGAACTTCAGCCCCTTTGCAGGTAAGGACTCTTGTGCATGATGCTAAATATATGTGCAGTTATTGGAGCCACTGCAACTGCCTGCTTCATCGTCTGTGGTTCCAAAGTGAGAAAGTCTTCATATTTTTTAAATCAGCAGCTGTTATTAAACAGACACAAGAACATTGCAGGCGTTTTCCCTGTTCCATTGTTCATTTCAGTCGCATTATATGATATTCAGATATTCATAATTTGCATCTTATTTTCCTCAGTAATCCCTGAAAGAAATCTGTATTACAGCATGTCCCCAATCCTCTCCATTGTCTGGGTATCAGCCAGTTACATAAAAGCTTTCTCATTGTTCCAAGTGCATTGTCTTCTCATTTCCATATCTAACAAAACTCTCCACAGAAATAAAAGACACCAGATTCAATCCAAGTCTAGTTGAATTGTAATATCACAGTATAATGCCAGAAGTTCATTCTTTATTAAGTAGCCTCAAATGCAATTCTGATACAACATTACCACTGATTATTGTTTCTGTCTTTTCCCCTCAGGAAGCATATAAAACAGAAAATGGCGCGTTCTGGAGGACCATCACTTTTCCTGATCCATACAGGATTCCTGTTAGCTATCGTTTTACTTCCAGGTGAGACTTAATGTACATATTTTAACTGATATAAAATGCTTCTTTGATTTTTTTAACTAAGATTCAGATGGCAGACAGAGAAAAATTGACTCTAATGTTAACTATAAGTGTTTGCATATAGCCACACTGAAGATACTGAGGTATGTTGGCGGATTTATCACCCTGCTAAGGATTTGATTAACAATGATACTTTGATAGGTCACATTTTTGAAACTTTGAATCTAATTTAGAGCTGCCCACTATTAGACAAATAGTAAACACGTTCATAGTTTTTGTCTTGACTACTTGTGGTTTCTTCTGTTGACGATTAGAACATCTCTCGTAATCACAGTTTAAAGTAAATATTTGTTTACGTTTCACTGATGAGAAACTCTACCAACCAACAAATTGATTAGTCAACAAAGTTGTATGGGTCTTTCCGAGTAAGCCTTAAAAAAATAAAATGTGTTTTTCGTAAAAAAAACAATAAATTAAAAACAATAATAGAAGTTTGTTGAATTTAGGTGTTTGAGACAAGTGAGACAACTTTGAAACACCATTTAGAGTCTCCAAGCTTTATTAAAGGTTTTATTCTTCATTTAAAAAGTCCACAAATATGTTTGTTTGGTTCTTTCTCAGCTTGGTTCATTTGAAGGATTTTCTCTGGCCTTAATGTTCTGTCTAATCCATTTAATCATCTCCCTTCCTTCAGGCGAAGCCTTTGTGGAAGAATTTGTGGTTTTGCCAGCAATGGATTTTAGCACCATATCCATTTTTTGTGTTCCTACATTATTTGTTCTCCCTCCTTAAGGGGAAAACATCCTTGGTTCCCTTGAAAAGTTATATAGAAATGCATATTATTTTGCATATTATTTGTATTATAACGTCCATGAGAATTGGCTTATTATTGTCACATAAACATAAACTACCTTCAATACTAGAAAGAACATTCTGTGTTGATATGCATGGTAGCCATCTCTCTAGAGTCATAAAAAACATCTTCTCCTGTGGGAGATTTTTCACATTAGTAAATGAAAAGGACTGGAAGTTTCTGCCATAATCAGCTGACTCCACTAGTTTTTTCTCGTTAACTTCGGAAGGAATCGCCCCCCCCCCCCTCGCAGAAGATCGAGATGTACACAGACATGTCCCCCCCCTCCAACCTCTCACTTTTACAGTGCATTGGTAATTGGTTTGTGTGAGGGCCCAGTCTTTGTAGTTTTACAGGTAAACTTTAAGGAGGCCCCCAATAGTTGCACAAGCTCTACTGGTCTGGCTCAAAGCCCAGCAGAGCGTGGGGCTGGGTGGGGGTCTGCAGGAGGGGGGGGTGTTTAATCTGCAGGATGCTGCATGTGTCGGGGCGCCAGAGCCCCAGCACCTGCCGTGTTTCACCCGCGGGCTTATTAGCAGGTCAGCGTTTTCCCTGATGTTGAGAGAAAGCTCAACATCTGGTCCCAGTCAGTGAGCGCCTCTGCTGCTGCTAATGTGGCTGCTTGTGTTTTACAGAGTTTCTGGGGGCCGTGCCGGTGGAGCAGCGCAGGGAGGAGGAAGGTAAGCATCTGTGATGTGGCATGTGGGACACCATGGCAGTTTAGTCAGTTAAAATATGGATTAGGGAGGTGGACTTTAAAAACCTCAATCATGGACAGAGATGATTTCAATGTTCTTCCTTTGTTACACACAGTCAGTAACTCACAGATGTTGGTGACAAAACAATTAGCTACAATTTGGTGAGGTGCAATACAGAGCTAAAACGAATTTTACTGACATCACTATGTAACACTCAGGCTTCTATTGGCTAATGCTCCGACACATTGTACGTGATATGCTAAGGGACGGGACATCTAAGCAATTAGCCAATCACAACAGAGCCAGCCAGCTAACCAATAAGAACAGACTCGGCTCTGGTTTTAGACAGAGGGTGAAAAGAGGTGCTGCAACACAGGCAGAATGAGAAAAATAAGCACTTTTTGAACGTTAAAGAATGTAAACATATCACAGTAGAGGCACAAAATACAAATATGAACCTGAAAATGAGCATAATGTGTACTCTTTAAACCATTTGTAAGTTATTTATCCAGCACACTTTCTTTCCCTCTCTCTCCTCAGTGACTGCAGTGTCTGACGATGTGAAAGCCGAGGCCATGGAGAACCTGAGGACTCTTGTTCGCAACAGAAGGAACATCGTCCCCGTCATGGCCCCAATGGGCCAAATACCCCATTTCAAACGCATGCCCGACTTCTGGGGATGGTACAAGCTCTTCATGAACAGCCACAACCAGGAGGGAGTGAGTGCAGTTTGTTTCGCATTAATCATCAGTTCCTACCAGGGAGGATTGACTTTTGGATTTTTTACAAAAAAGACTGATTAAACAATATTCAACCTTCTTCATATGATAAATTAGCGATGCAAGTCCTGTTCCAGCATGTTATTACCAGTGAGAGCTCAGTGGTTTAAGATTGAGGCTATAGATGAGAAACAACACAGTGAGCTGAAAAAAGAAAAACTCCTCCACAGAGGATTTGTGTGAAAGTGTTCATCTATAAAGGACTTTGTTTAAAGGTCCCATAGTGTAAAAAGTGAGATGTATTCACGTGATTCTTAGTGCTATATAATTACTGTGAAAGCATGAAAACGCTCAGTCCTTGGAGAATTACACGCAGCCTGTTTCAGATATCCTAAGCCTTTCACACGTCGTCAGGACTACTGCAATGTTGTGAAGTCAAAACGGTTCATTCTTTCATTCACTATATACAGTCATTTTCTGGAAGCATTTTTTTGGTTTAAAGTGGCAGGCGCTAAACAGAGCGTTTCATAAAGGTATCTGCAGGCAGACACTATGAGAAATAGGATGTGTTTTGAACATTAAAGCATGTTAACATGTACTGGAAGTCACCCAAAAAAGTCTGGAATTAAGCATAATATGTGTCATTTCATTTCTTATTTCTTGCATGCAAGCGTAAATAATTAAATTATACATTTTCCCTTTTCACCCAATATTCCAGGTTGAGGATCTGGATCGTCTGTACATGAACTTCCTGCAGAACAAGCACAGGTCAGAGGAGGGCCCGAACTTCAACCACTACCTGAAGCACCTCAGTGAAATCTACAAAACCTGTGCCGACTCCGATGATCCCGAGTGCATCTCCGAGTCCACCAGCAAGCCCAAGGCCGCGCTGGTGATGCCCGAGGCCATCAAGACTGCCGATGTCAGGATGTGCAACCCTTACCTGGACCCCTACTGCCTCTTCCCCATTGGCCCCAAGGCTGCTGCGCCCGCGCCTGCTCCGGTCAAACTGCCCGCCCCCATCCTCACCCCCATGCTGCCCATGCCCATGAAGAGCTCCACCGGCTTCTACTACTACGCCCCCGTCCTGGAGCCCTTCCTCAGCGAAGTGCAGAGGGCCGAGCTGCTGAGAATCTGCAACTCTCAGGATGTGGAGTGTCTGCAGTATCACCTGAGAGCAGCCTATGGCTACCGCCCGGCCGCTGGCCCCGCCCCATCCTACGCCGCTCTCAACTGCGACCCCAAGGACCCGTACTGCATGCCCCCCCTGGTCCAGAAATCCCCCACCGGCTTCTACCACATGCTGTACCCCCGCTGTGACCCAGCAGTGGATCCTCTGTGTGTGACCGCCGCCCCGGCCCCTCTCGCTGCGGAGGAGGAACCCAAAGAGCAGCACTGCAACCCCCTGTTTGACGGCGGCTGCAACCCGCTGAGTGCCACCAAGCTGTCCGGACTCACCAGGCCCGTGTTGGAGTTCGCCCCCAAGGCAGCGGCTGCTTCTGGTCCCGCCCCTCTGTCCTGCGACCCTCGCTACGACCCGTACTGCATCCTGGCCGCCGCCGCCGCCCTGCGCAGGCCCGCCCCGCAGATGCCCGAGCACCAGGTCTGAATTTGAAGTCCTGCTTCTAGATATAGTTGGATGTCTTGACTAATCTAATGAAATACTGCTTGTTGAATGGTGCTACTAATTGTCTCTTCCTTTTCATTCAGTTTATTAAATGATTTAGTGAAATTAAATGGGTGTTGCAAAATGCTTTCACTTGCTTTCTATGATCTGTTTTGCATCTGTTTTGAACCAAAAACACAAATCAATCAATTAACCAGGTCCGCTACAAGCTCGGGGTCGAAGGCAAGACCAAGGATGGCCACGACTGCTACGTGCACTACGACAAAGACTGCACCCCCGTGAAGTATGGCTCCGCGGCCAAGGCCAACATCAAGGCTCCAGCCAAGCCTTTCTGCCATCCCTTCGACCCAAACTGCGGCAAGTTTGCTGCAGGACCCTCGGCCGTTGAGGCCCCAAAGCCCAGCAATGATGGCATCATCCTGCCCGACCCCGACTGCGACCCTGAGATGGACTTCAACTGCCGCCTGCGTCGCGCCCAGCCCGCTGCAGCCGCCGCTGATGAGCCCGCGGCCGCCGACGAGCCCGTCAGAGAGGCCGCCATGCCAAACTTTGAAGACTTCCTGCGGGGCGTCATGAGCAAGCACCAGTAGAAATAACAACATCAATGCCTTCTAGATAATCTACCTGGCAGAAATGGAGCTCACTGTGTTGTCTTTAATCTTTATGGACTTCATGAACCACCTTTCCCAGTATCACCAGGTCCATAACAAACTATAAAATAAATCGGAAAATATTGCAGCTGATTTTCACAGAAAATCTGAACGCATCTACATTTTGGTCTGCTTTACAAAAGGGGAACAATTCAAGAGGGCCAAGCAACATAGATCATGTGAAACTTGTGTATTAAATACTTCATGTATGTATGTTTGTAGAAAGAGTCGTATGTATAGATGTTTGATAGATTAGGGGTAGTTACATTTGTGTTAGTGGGCAATAATTTCTCTCTGCTGTACATTCTCTGTTTCCATTTGAGTTACCCTATTTAATGTTGTGTTTCACATTGTTCTGTAACTCTAAACCTCGTAATGCTTCATCTGTTTAGTTTTTATGAAGTTCTTAATAAAAAAACGAGTTGAAAAGCTTCTGAATTGTCTTTCTAGATCAAGAGATAAGAGGAAAGTATATTACTTGATGAGCAGCCAAACACCATTGCTAAAGTTTCAAGAATCCAACAAATATTTAAAAGTTTTAACATCATTTAATAAAGTTTACTCTGCACACAGCATTTCATCACATCATAACATCAGTCCCCAGATGTTTCAACTAACATGCAGCACCATGTCCAGCCTTACAGCCAGCTGGCACCAGTTTATTACCCACCATTATAAAAATAGCTCATAATTTCCAAAAGTATGTGTTTCTAAGTTAGTACATAAACTTCTACCTAATTAGAGATGCATTAAAACAGTGTTTTCCCACCTTTATTGCAAGATAAAGGGAAGCTTTGGCAATTTTCAACCAGCTTTGTGTCTTTTCAAAGTGGGTGGTACGTGCAAATAAACAATTGTTTGCTTCTCTCAATGTTACTGCAGCCTGGGGAGCTCTTGGCGCCAGTAACTGACGGAGAGAAGCCTGTGTTTACCGTGCAATGTAAAGGGCTGCTGTTAAAAGGGCCCATCACTGCTGTTAGCATTGTGTTCATAATGACAATGCTAACATGCTGATGTTTAAGTGATACAATAGTGCAGCTGAGGCTTATGGTGTTCTTGCAGGTATTTGGTCTCATTGATGTTTAATCAAAGTATCTCTATAAACAGTTATATGACCAAAAGCCAATGGATTCTCAGATTGGGATAAAAGCGGTTGATCAACCATGATAGCAAGGCTAAAGCAGCAAAGTGTGTTTCTGACAATGTCACAGCTGTCCACAGTTGTCTAAACACCTCGAGCAACGTGATGAATTAATCCCGAACAGTGTCATCACCTGTCCTGTGAAACACTCACACACACTTGTCTTTGTAAATTGTGAGGATATTGTATTGACCCACATTGATTTGCTAGATGCTAAAACTGCTAACCTTAAAAGCATGTGCTATCCCTAAAATGAATGGTAATCCAGATGTTTGAGTCCTGATAATGTGACTGTTTGAAAAGGTGAACATAAATATAGTTATGCACAAAACTAACATGTTTTTTCTGCATGTAGGGTGGTGTATGAGCAGGAGGATTAATATTTACAGTCACACATCAATGTAACAACAGATGCATAGTGCATCTACCAACCGTACGGAAAATACGAATAAATCTTAGTTTAACATCTGACAAAAACGCAATCACAAATTCAGGGTTTTGATACATTAATGTATTTCTTTGAAATGTGAACAGCCTTTATTCAAGAAATCCTGAATGATTAACTGCTGTATGTTCTCTTCCACAGCTAAACAGTGTATTTTATAAACCAGCTCCAGCCCTGGGCTGCAAGGACTGCAGTGTCTTTTTCAATAACCAACTTTTCAACAGCTCCAGCACACAGCCGTCGCCTCAAGGAGACAAACGACACCACCGTCGCTGCTCCTGACAGTTTTAAAGGCAGATAACACACAGCCGGGCCGGTAATGACTACCTGAACACAACATGCACTCAAAAAGCACCGTGAAGGTATGTTCCTAATTGTAGCTGCTGTCCTGTAAAGTTTAGACGGCAGAATTCTCCTGTCACGCTGAAAAAACAGTGAAACTTTCTGAAGCAAAACAAACTTCAAACTGCATTCAAGTTCAGTCCTACCTGAGTCCTTTACCGTATTCAAATGTGCTTTAGTGCAGTAGTTGAAAATAAGTCTGTTAATCAAGTAATAATTGAAAGTGAGGCGCTTTTACCGCACTACATGTATTTGACAGTATTAGTGTTAATCTGCAGATTCAAATCACTAACACAAAATATAATAAACAAATATAGTTTTGTTAAAAGTAGCAGATGATACTTTATTTATCCTGGGATACAATTCTAAGTAATGCACAACTTATAATACAGCAATATAGTAAGCATTATGCTACATAATAAAAACTTTTACGCTTCGTTCTTCAAGTAAATGCTAATACTTTAGTAAAGTACATGTTTGAAAGCAGTCCATACTTGAGTATTTCCTCACTGTTGTATTGCTACTTTTATTGTGAAAACAATACTTTTTCGATTACTGTGTCAGGGTCTAAAATGAAATAAAAACTTTTAATGGAAACGTTCTATTCAAGTTTTAAACGTTACAGTGTCTTTACTCTCGCTAAACCAATACATATTGTTTTTAACCAAGTAGAATGTTTAATGTGATGATGATACTTGCAGATGTGTTTCCACTCTTGTTGTGAGCTAATATTTACCTGCAGTCTCCAGCAGGTAGCGCTGATCTCCCAGAGCCGCAGAGACTGAGGCTGTCATCTGTCTGTCCAGCTGTCACAATTATTTCCATCAGACTGAGTGTCAGAGCTGTTCTGTAATGACAGCTAGGGCTCATGAAAAAAACTTCAAAGCATGTAAACCTCGTACAAAATTAATTAATAATCATACTTAGACCATTAATCCAACATCAGTTAGACTACCTCCTTCCCTATTCATGATATAACATAATATATTTTTACTTTTACCTTTTATAGTTTGATATCTTTAGGTGAGATATTGTGAAAGCTGTATCGTTGCTAAAAATTGAATTTCATCAAAGGTCGTGTCGGGGGAGCAGAGATCAAACAGTGTGAGGAGGAGACAGAGAAAATGTTTGGAATCAATTTCACGCCTCCATGAAGAATAATTGCTGTGGATTTTAAACATTATGATATTAAGATAAGCGCCTTTCAGCTTGTCTCAGTGGAACGAATTTAGTCTACTGGTTTTATCACGGCTGCCTGTTTCTGTGTTAATTACTAAATAACTGAATTTATCTAACGTGAAAAACCTTTGAACAAAATGATATTGCAAAGCTTGTTTATAAATCAATTTTTAATGAGATGAAATAAAAGATCTATGCACACAAAAGTATTTTTTTCTCTCAAATGTCGTTCACACATTTAGTTAAAATCCATAGTGTGACCACTCTTTCTATGCCAAGATAATCCATCGACCTGACAGGTGTTGCATATCAAGGTGATGATTAAACAACGTCATCATTACAGGTGTACCTTGTGCTGGTCACATTTCAAGTATTTTATCACACTGCAACAGATATCACTAGTTTTGAGGAAATGTCCTTTGGCATGAGTGCAACCAGAACTGTTGCCCATGTAATAATTGATCTGAGCCTTCTATGACTTTTCGTAAATTTGGCAGGGCATCCAAGTCGCCTCACATCGTTGACCACATGTTACCAATCCAGCACAGGACTTCTACATCAGACTTCTTCACCTGAAGATCGTAAGAGACCAGCCACCATGATAGCATGTTTACAATAAGTGTTTTGCATGATATTGCATCACACTAATAGACTACTACTGAACTGCACATGCAATATGACAAGGTTTTTTTAAAAGAAAAAACATAATTTGTCTTTATTAGACAGAGGAGAAATAGAGATGTCTGTTTATTTTGAATTGTCACAGTTTTCCTGTTTTACTTTGAAGGTGTTCACCCCCTGTCTGTCATGTCTGTATTTGCTTCCTGTCTGTGTTTGCCCTCCTGTCTGATTGTCTGACTCTGTTCACCTGTTGCCCCGGTGTTTCACCTCCCCTCCCCTCTGTGTCTTGTCTTGTGTATTTAGTCTTGCTTTCCCTTGCGTTCCTTGTCAGTTCGTCATCATTTTTCGTGTGTTTTGGCTGTGATGTCGTGATCTGGATTTCCATGGTCCTCCGGTGTCTCCTGAGTGTTCCCGGTTTGTTATTGTTTTGTTTGTTACTTTTCCTTTTGTTCCACCTCGCCTGCTCCTGCCGTTTCTTGTGTTGTACCAGCTTTTAATTTAATAAAAGCTCGCCTTTTGTTTACATCCCCATACCTGCCTCCCTGGTTGCACTGCTTTTGGGCCCGCACTCTTGCTGAAACCTGACAAGAGATACAGATTGGAAACGCAGGAAAGAGAGTGATGACTTCCCTGTTAAATGACGGGAGTCTTGGCCAATTGGCTACTGGTCTCACCCAATGGTTTTCTTCCCAATTTGTTAACCTTCCTAGGTTAAGGGGGGACTTAAAGTGAAACTGTCTAAAGGGATGTATGCTCGACAAACAGGAGGGTCTTCACCTGACTTCAGTCCATTGACGTAAAGAACTTATATGCACAAATTCCACTCTCCGATGGTGTCGTCTCTTTGGAGAAATGCTCTCTTCACAGATTAATACTATACCAAAGAATGCATATCTGCAGAATTAGTCTTGTGAAATCCATAGTTCAGAATAAATGTCGCCTTTCATCATACATATGGAATAATTATGTTTAATCTGTAATGCCACACCTGTCAATGGATTATCTTGGAAAACTAGATAGATAGATATATATACAGACAGGCAGGCAGGTGAATTATTCACGTCAGTACTTTCATATTAACAGACCTACATGTATTACATTATGCATGAATAGTCCATGGTCAGCTGCTGCTCTTTGGGGACACGGTTTGATGAAAAAAAGAGCTCCAAGAAAGGTTTTTCTTGTCATAAACAAGCATGAGGTTTTCCGCAGAGTGAGCCATCATGTATACGCTGAATCTATTCTTTATATGGAGTTATGGCTGTCAAAACTAATGGACACAGCATGTATTATAAGTCACTAGTGAATACGCTTTTCTGTGGTCCAGGAATGGAGCAAAAGCTGAGAGGGGTTTGTTGTGTTTGAGGTCTGTGGTCATGTAAAGATTCTCCAGTCTAAAGTAGCAATATGAAAAGCTCATTTTCTTTGCCTTGTTATCTGAAATGCTTTGTATGAGTGAGGCATTACAGGGAAAAAGGTGCACTTAACAAGAGCCATAACATGGGCTTGTATCTAGCAATCTGTAGGGAGTCCTGCACTACAAATGCTAATTCTGTTTTGTGCACCGGTCTCTGTATTATTATTTTCTGCTATTTCAGTGCGATGATGGAAAATGCAAATAATTAGTAGAGTGGGAGACTAAAAGTTGTG